TAGGGTTGTGGGTGGTAGTGGTGGGCACATGGTGTCAGGGACTGATTTTTAGTCAGTAGAAGTCTGACACTGAGCACCCAGGGCTGAGGCAAAAACATTGGTACACCCTAATAACAAAAATAATAAGCCTGTACTCCAAAGCAAACAATTCATAATACTAAATCCTTTAAGCCTTTATACTTCACACCGCTTGGTATCAGTTTCTACATCATAACTACTCTATGCTCGTGTCCAAGTGACCACGTAACGCGTAACAGCGCACTAACTCGATTCTGAGCTGAGATGAGCGGCTGTGTCTTGTGTCCGATGTCGCTCGCACCTGATTGGACTATTGTCCACTACGGCTAGTATTTCATTACCGTCATTCGCTGCCCAGTTATTTGAATTGCAACGGTTACATACAAGCCCCTTTGCTTCTAATTAAATTGGTTTTGCTGCACTGCTGCTTTCCTAGTAACAGTGTAAAGGTTTGTGTTAAATGTTTTGTTTCTCACATCACACATCATCAGCCTATAAGTGCCCACTGCTGAGCAAAAGCCTCTTCTCACACGCAGAAGGTTGAGCATAAATTACCACGCGTGCTCAAGGCGGATTGAATTTATCAGACCAGGTTTTCTCAGGATGTTTTCCTTCACCGAATGTCAGTTGTGTCTAAATAAAAAAGTACATATAACTCAGAAAAGTCGAACTGGTACTTGCCAAGTTTTGAGCTCGCACTCGGCAACGCAACGGCACGTAGCATTCCACGCGTACTTCAAAAAGATATTAGACTACCACAGACCCCATCTGTAACTAAACTGATGTTCAGCCGGGGTCAAGCGCATTTGACCGCGGCCTCGGCCTACACCAGAACAAGGTATGGGCTGGTTTTTAGCCAGTTAGAGTCTGACACTATCTCATAGAGAAATCATTAGATGTTCCCCCTCAAAAAAGATGGCTTTTACTCCTAAGTAGATAACTTTTTTATTTGGAATTATTTTGTTTACAATCAAGTTTGCGAACCATCAGTCACAATCCGAAACCGAACTCAATTTCAAATATTCTTTTTAAACTTAATGTCAATCTAGAACTAGACTTTATAACTCTTTGAGAAGTTTAAATGGTAATTAGGCAACGTTAATGAGCCCGCCAACAATCAGGTTGGTAAAAGGTGCCTCGTAATGAAATGGATTTGTTCTGAGTACAGCGAATAGATAAAGGATAATTCGCGAGATCAAAGCGTGACAAACACAGGTGTTGTACGGTGACCATGGTTCGGGAATGTATTGAGTCATTATTGTTGTGTTGATATTTATATGAAATCGGTTGGAAAACGAGATTATCTGTTACCTGATTGCCAGCAATCGTGGCTGCCCAGGATAGCCTGATACACCAAAGGCGTCGCTGTTTTTTTTGTATTGAAGAATTGAGTATGGAGAGAAGGATTTAACATAATCCAAACGTTGTTTTATGCCATCGTGTCTATCATGTCTTCTTGTTAATGATGTTTTTATAAACGTTGCCCACACTAGAATCTTTTCATTGTCTTGGGTGGGTTTCAAAACATAAACATACAAATTCACACATATATACATCACACTCAGACCGGGAAAACGTGTTATAGATCACATAAAGAGTGGTCCCGTGCAAGGATCGTTGTAAAGCCGGTTACCCAGCTACCGCGTCAACTTTTCACTCGACATATAGTTAATAATAATTAATTAATTACTTTTAAGTAAGAGAGTAAGTGGAAGTACACAAATAGTTATCTAACTAAGTGAAAGATACCGAACAGTGTTGATATTCTTTCGTTTTGATAGACTAGCAAGAATTCTGTGTATATTTTTGTTGCCAAACACTAAGATTTTCTCCTGTGTCGTGGGTCATCTATTTAAAACATGCAAAAATATCGTTGATCTCTAACATGTTTGTTCCCAAATCATCTCACAAAATGTGAATATTGTCACAGAAATTGTTTTTCAATTTTAGGACTGTCCGTACTCGTACAGAAGTTTGGTCGCACACCGCCCGCTGCGTCCACCATTAATAGATCAGGCCCAGTTCGCTATTAATTAACTCAAGGGTACCTCTGTCCTGTTACTGGACACTTTTGTGGTCACCTGCACACGGCGAGCTCCACAATAGCTATTAAATAAAAACAATTGTTTTTGATTGATTCAAATTTGTACCTTACGATTATTGTGGATTGTTTTGTTATACCAAACTAGCTTTTGCCCACGACTCCGTTCGCGTGGTATAGTGACTTCCTGCAGATTTTTGGTATAAAAACTATCCAATGTCCTTTCTTGAGTTCCAAACTATGTCTGTACCAAATTTTAGCCTCAAGAAAGGACAGACAGACAGATAGACAGAGTTACTTTCGCATTTATTATATTAGTTTGGATGTAGCTACTAACAATGTACCTATTATGTAAAGTCACTCAGACTGACTAAAGTATAACGTCTGATTATTATTCTGTTACGATTGCTATTTATTTTGAAGTTTCTTAATGGATTAAAATTAGTTTATTGTCTACAAACGTTTAATAGAAGCGTTTATTCAAACAATTCTGAGCTCAAACAAAATGATTAGGTATTCATTTGTTTTCTAGACGTCTAGAATTAAAATAATACTAGACTATTGTTTAGCAATTAATGCCAAGTAATGGCCATCTATATTTTTGAGTAAAATGCTTTTCATACCTGTATTTCTATACAAATATCATAAAGAGGTAAAAGTTAGTTTGTAAGTTTGTATGTAGGGGGTAATCTTTGGAACCGCTGGTCGGATTGCCAAAATTCTTTCACTGATAGGTAGCTACAATGTTCCTGAGTGCTATATGCTATAAAACATCACGCTACGATTAAATGGAGAGCAGTAAGTGGAACCGCGCGAGAGTAGCTAGTAAAAAATAAAGAGGTCTGTGTCAAATGAGGTCGTGGTAGCCGGGAGATTAAGGCTCCCTTTCCTTATGCATTAGGGTGTGTTATGAAGACCTGGCACGAACCAATGTGACTTTTTCTTCGTTAAATGCACTTTTAAAGTATTTTAAAAACATACACAAATTTATGGAAAGCCAGGACTCTTATTTATGACTAGCGTGCGCATTGATATAGGCGTAGTCGACGCAGTCATGGTATTGTCATGAACAAGAGTCTCGTTGTGCCTTGAAACTGGTCGAGCTTTCCTAAGTATTTTTTCCAAAGATATCTTTATTGTGATGTTGATTATGTAATCCTTTACTAAATCAGTGTACTCAATTGTCGGCGATTCAAATAAATAGAATTAAATTTAGTATCAATATCAACATTGCACCTTTCACCTTTTTGTATATAAAAATAAGTTTATTATATACAAAAACATACCTACATAAATAGACTATTTATTTATAAAATAAATTAATCAATAAATATTTTACCTGGGCAAGACGTTCACACACTTGACTTAAATACTCAAATTAATATGGCTACTGCAATAATCCACGCTAGCCCTTTAATCCAGAATTATCTGGGACCGCAGCGAGGGTCACGAGGGTAGCTGACGGGTCGAGGGAGGGGTAAAGGGGGAAGGTTGTTCAAAACCAATCAATGTTGGTTAATTGGCGCTTTAATGCTGGATCATTCAACAATTACAGAGGTCGCTGTCAGCCGCCAGGTAGTGTAGAGTTGAGCTCATGTCGATACAATCGTTAAGAAATACGTTAAGATTATTTAAAATTTATAAGTAGTGAAGCCATAGAATTTATTTTTATTAACAAAAATATCTTTGTATCAACCCTTAAGTGAAAATAAACCCTTTTAATTTACATTAAAGTAGATATCCATTTAATTATTTTAAGTCCAATATGAATTTCAATTTTTGATAATAATATCTGTCAGTATCAAACCTTTGCAAGTAGCGTGCTACTTATTTTTAATTGGATGTTTTTGCAACTTCATTTTGACTATATAAGTGTGGTAGAGACAAGTTTAGGCACGATTGAGTCGCCTCAACCGGAGTGATACCGCGGCCTTACTAAACACCAGCGTGAAACATCCACAGTCTTTCGCCGTATAAGTGAGGCTCAAGTCCTCTCCTCCCTCAGTCCATTCCAATCCCTAAATCTTCACAACCCTTATCCCCAAATAGTCAGCAACGCACTTGTAACTTCTCCGTTGTTGAACTGTCCATGGGCGACGCTGATTGCTTACTTTCAGATAATCCGTACATTTGGCGACCTATCACATAAAACAAAAAAATCTTACAAATGGTTGGCAACGCACCCGTAACTCCTGCGGTGTTGTGGTTATTCATGGGCGACGTTGACAGCTTACCATCAGGTAATCCACCTACTCGTTTGCCGTCCCATTACATAGAAGAAAAAGAAAGAACAGAAACAAAACAGAAGATAATTAATATCCAAACTTAAGCTTAGATAATGTTTTGTATCTCCCCTAACCCTATGATCTAATTACTGACGTCGACATAACCCATCACTGTCAACAAATTGTTATATGGTCGTAGTAGATTAGCGTGTCCCGGGTCTACTACACCCCCTCCCCTTTCCCTCGCCCCTAACTCGCCCCCACACTTATCCCAATCAATCTAGCGCAAACTCGCTTAATTTAACCATCAATCCACCATTAGCGTTCGTTATTATATTTAGTCTCGTTATTGAGAGTTGAATGAATAAATTTCATGTCTGTTACCTTGGTGAGTTTTAATTGGTTTTTCTTTTAGAGGAAATGGTTTTGTGGCATTTTTTTGTTTTTGTATTTTTTATATTTAATTTATTTTATCGAGTTCCATTGTAAATGGTGCACATGACCGCTAAATTGATTACTTAGTTATTTATTTTTTACAAACATCTAAGTTGGTACATATTATCTCCACAGTTTCCAATAGGTACGAGAAGTAGTAAAGTGTAATTATGTAAGTAAAGTTTTTATAAGGAGGCTATATACTATTATATAATATATACTATACACTATTATTATAATCTATACTATTATTATAAGTGTGGGAGAGCCATTCGGCACAAATGGGTCGGCTCGACCGGAGTGATACCACGGCCTCACAGAAAACCGGCGTGAAAAAACCACAGCGTTGTGTTTCGCCGTTGGGTGAGGTTACCGGAGGCCGAATCCTTCCCCTCCCCCGATCCCTCCCAATCCCTAAATCTCCAAAACCCTAATCTCTAAAAGGTCGGCAACGCACGTTATTCCTCCGTTGCGGGTGTCCATGGGCGGCGCTAATTACTTACCATCAGGTAATCCGACTGCTCGTTTGCCGACCTATTCCATAAAAAAGGCAAAATTTGCAAAGGAGGGAAGGATTATGTCTCTGGTAATCTCACTTACATGGCGAAACACAGCAATAGAGTTGTTTCACGCTGGTATTCAGAGAAGCCGTGGTTCATGCTGGAGAATGGATCTTCCACATTTGGTGTTTTATCCGATTGTCGACATCGTCGTCTCCTGGCACAAACATCCATAATCACGTTTGAAAGGAGACACCACCAATTCTATCTTAGGTACATATATAGGTATATGAAGGCACCGGAGGGTTGGTACAAACATCAACAACCCGATCATCGTCTTCACAGTCCGTAGCAGGGCGTAGGATTTTATAATCAGACTGAATCAATTACAAAAATAACGGACGTCGGCGATCCGTCTCAGATGACAGTCACAGCGCTCGCTCTCCACCGTAATGCTCACGCAGAAATGTCAGTTTGACGTTCCGCCAGAGGACGATTCATAGTACCCTCGTCCGATGAATTGTGATAAAACCTCCTTAAAAATTCAATTTAAATAATCGACGCATTGACATATAAAATTCTTGTTGCGACACAAGAATTTTATATGTCAACGCGTATGTTAGTTAACTACCTTCTCCAAAATGGCTTTACTGATTTTCACCAAATTCTTTACGCATATTCAGTTGGTTTGATAATCGGCTACTGGCTATTTTCATAAGTACCCCTAAATGATAAGTAATAAATATTGCAAAACAACGTTGGCAAGGTTAGCTAGTATCAGCCGGGGTTGCGGGGTAAGCGCAATGAGGCACCGCGACCTCGGCCCAGAGCAGGAGAAGGAACAGGGGGGTTTTAGTCAGTAAGAGTCTGTCACTCCCTCCCGCCCGGCCCTGGGCGGGAGAAGTCATATGATGATTTTCCCCTCACAAAAAAAAAGGTTAGCTAGTAACACGATAAATTCGTGCTATAACTTTGTTAAACCTTTTTGATTTTATTTGAAGTATAATTCCTTATAATTTAAAGTTCTTGGACCTGCTGAGATCTTAGAATCATTCTACAGATCTAACAATGTCATAAATTAAATGTAGGTATGTATTACCATGACTTAGTTTCGAAGCGCTCGCAGTCTCATGATCATGAGCCCCAGGCATATCTCGAAACTTGTCGAGTAGCGTTTTCGAACAGTTATTTGACCAACTGCTGTGCATACTCGAAAACATTTAATAATTATCTACTTAAACCAATTTTAAAAAAGAAAATATTTTTTAGGTTCTCGTATTTGGGGTTCAACTTCTCTCCCTTTCTCTCCTTTACTGTGGAAGGAATTGAAAGTGGCTGTTTTTCGCTTACAAATAAGACAAGTATTTATTATATTGTAAAACTAAAATGTAATTTGTTTTATAACATAATTTGATTTGTTTACGTAATAAACATTTATTATGATTACTACGAACTTATCTAACTAATTAGGGCGCCATCAATTAGTACAACTAGACATGCAAAGTTCTAGATATGTAAGTCCATAGTGTGCTACTGTATGCACTATCTAGATCTAAATCCAATCATTAAACAAATTGATTGATACTAGGAACTTGATTGGAACAATCCATTAGCTAGGGTTGTCAGCGTAAAAATTGAAAGTCTACGACATAATGATGAGTTGCAGTGTGGCAACATTATGGCCATAAAAACAGGGCATGTGCAATTAAAAGTCATTCAATTGTAGCATTCGCGTGCACTCAATTATATGAAGAGGTCTACTGTCATGGCGGCCGCTTTAAATATTTAAGCTTCAATCAGTATAATGTATTGGTGTTCCATGCGACGTTATCTGTGGTTATGCCTATGGTGTTGCTTCGAATCTCCTTTGGTTTCAGGGAAAATTATGACTATCAAAATATTTTTTTTTTTATGTGATAGGTCGGCAAACGAGCAGACGGATTACCTGATGGTAAGCAATCAGCACCGCCCATGGACACCCGCAACGGACGAGTTACGAGTGCGTTCCCGACCTTTTAGGGATTAGGGGTTTGGAGATTTAAGAATAGGTGGAGGGGAAGAATTGGGCCTCCGGTAACCTCACTCACACGGCAAAACACAACGCTGTGGTTGTTTCATGCCGGTTTTCTGTGAGGCCGTGGTATCACTCCGGTCGAGCCGACCCATTCGTGCCAAAGGATGGCTCTCCCACAATTTTGACGCACATTTTTCATCATACCTTATTCTTTTGTTTTATTGTTTTACAATTTTCTTTTTTGTGGCATTAGTCACTTGTTAATTTTGTGTCCTAAGTATACCTACTTCGTTTTTGAGGTGAATAAATAGTTTCTGTTTTGTTTTTTTATTCATTCCAGGTATCCCCAGGCGGACACCGGTGTTCTCTCTCTGTAGATATTAAATGAAAGATTTCATGGACATGTTTATTTACTAAAATATTGATTCTATCACGATTAATTTGAGGTTATTTTGTGCTTCATGATATTGAAATATCTAACATTTGTAAGTATTTTGAGCTCAGAGGCGAGGTGTTGGAAAAAGGCGAGTTGTCGTCGTCAATAAAGAAGAAGCCTTTGCTCGAGAGTGTCCATGCTTACTTATTTCCATGCTTTGCTTCGGTAGGGGACATCATCAAATGTCTTCTCTCGCTCTCTCTGGGGTGAGAGGGAGTGACAACCTCTTACTGAGTATAAGCCAGGTGCCCGTCGGGGGGTTGCGACGAATGCTTCGGCGATACCCGCCCCTCCGACACATGGGTTATTGGAGGAACACCGGTTTGGTTTTTAGTCAGTAAGAGTCTGACAGTACCCTCGCCCTTACCCGAGGGCGGTGGGTCTCCATGAAGATTTTCCAACCCGAAAAAAAAAAAAGTATAAGCCAGGTACCTACACAAAAATATTTATTTTTATGTGTCTTTCTGCGCGTTCAGGTTAATCTTTGGAATGGCGGGACTGAATATGATCGTCTTTTATTGATACGTAGGTAGCTGATGTAATAAGAAGTCACTTGGGCATTTTAGAACAGTTATTTTATTGTTTCTTCTTTTCGCGAAAGAATATATTGTTCTCGCCCGATAGTGAAAATCGAATTTTACATGAAAAGTACGAAGTCAAGCACATTATGTAAGCTGGTTCATACATATGTTGATCTTATTCCACATAAATGTTTCTTCGTTCTTTCTATGGCGACAATGATGATGAGTAATTGACTGCACGGTTGGTGCGGTGACTGGGGCAACGTGTGCGAAACAACTCTTTGTGTGATCTACAAATTGTTGTTTCGGGTCTGGGTGTGATGTGTATATGAAATTGTATGTTTGTTACCGCACCCACAACACAGGAGAAGATCCTGGTATGGGGCAACGTTTATATTTCAAAAAAATTAAATGGACATGGAGAAAAACGGGCCGCTGATGATCACGAATCTATCTACTCCGTTTTTTCTCCATCAATGATATTGTCTTCTGATTAAATTTTAATACCTATAACATTTCATTTATACGTACCAAACCTATATTCTTTATTTTCTTTCTCCTAGCCTTTTCACGCATAGATTGTAAGCGACACTAAGTCTCAACAAGATTTGGTTGGATGTCTGTACCTATTGTATATTAAGCTGTATTATAAGTACTTATTCGTCACAACACCCTGAAGACGGCTATGTTTCTGGTTAGACTCAACAGTTACCTAGATACTTTAACTACCTACCTTCAACTGCAGATAAAGATGGTCATATTATAACAATTAGAACCGACTTAGCCGACAGCTACTCATTATCATACTCTTGGAGATGTCAAAGAATCAATCGGGGTTGCTGGCCAAGCGCAATAACTGCATCCTCGGCCTGGAACAGAAGAATTAACATGGTGGTTTTTAGTCAGCAAGAGTCTGACATTTCGTCTCGCCGTCACAAGTTCTTTAGATGATTTTCCCATCCCAAAATAAGGATTCAAATATTGGAAAAATCATTGATACCCCATTTAGTGTTGTCCAAGTTTGTAAACAAACATGCGTTTCGCTGCAAAATGTTGCCTTAGGGAAGGATATGTAAAAAATGCATACAAATTACCTACCTAAAGTTTCAAGTTAAGTTTAAAAGTATATTTTAACAAAATTCAATTATCTAAATAAATTAATTAAAAATTGTACTGTAATTACAAAGTATTACGTAAAATGTAACATAATGTAGCAATCTGCAGTACGCGGCGCGCCGGGACCTTGTTATTCCTAAAGTTAACCGTGTAACTGCCGGCCGCGAACAATCACTGAGCGCGCCGGACAAAAGAAACCCATCGACAATGCAAGACGCGCCAAGAAAAAAACAAAATTCAACACACGATTGGTCGATCGACGTGTGACGTCACAGCGCGCCCCGCCCCCTAACAACCGTCGCTACACCTGAGATGAGAGGGAGCGAGATCTTTGTAAGTGTGAAGAAGACAAAATTTTTTTTTGCCTCAAGTCCATAATTCACCGCAATCTATTTTCATGCCTAATTCTTTATTATAGAGTTCAGTTTGCTAGAGAGTGTTTGTGGTTTTAAGACTCAGTGCATTTACTGGTCTGGTCAGTTGGAAAAGCTGTTATTGTTTGGTTACGGGTTAACCGATTTGGTTAAATTTGTGTGTTAACAGGCAGATGTCCGGCGGTGCTCTCGCTCCCTCGCCCCGCGCTCCGCTGAGACAGGTAGCGTCTGATTGGCCCCGTATTGATTAGTGTGATTAATTAGAATTGAGTTCATTAGCATTTGGGTAATTGGAAGTTTGGACTGGACGCTGTACCATCGTTTAGTTTGTTTTTTGCTGTTTAGTTCGATCATGGATAATGCATACAAAAACTGCTCGATGTATCAATTAATAAATAAACATATATTTAGCTTCGTTTGATGGTGAAAGTTTATTCAACGATCGTTTCGTATACAATGGGATCTTTTTTAAAAAATTGATTACAATTAAATCGTCTCTGTACTTACCTATATTAAATCAAAAATGATGAAAAATATTGTATGCCTACTTAAATAATTTTCTTGAATAAGTATTCTAATATCTACCAAATTGTATAGAAACATGCAAAGAAGCAACAAGCGAGTAAGTACCCACGAACGCATCGAGAACCCTCAAAGAAATCGCTAACAAACTCCCGGCTACACTCTAACACCTAGCACAATCGACCCAATCAAACAGAAAAAAAACTATTCAACCATCACCAACTCTCAATACCGTTCAAAGAAACTCCGAGGGGAAAATGCTAATACGCCGCTTCTTGCTTCTTACCAAACAAAATCACTTCGCGACCCCAAATTTCGCACTTTCAATGGGCAATTTCGCTCGCCCCCCTTCCAATAGGCCCCGCCCCTTTCTTCCCCGCCGACTCTAGTAGTAGTTTCGGAGCGCCAGTGACGTACGCGTATCGCTGCGAGATGGACGCGCCCGACGACCGATATTACGGCAACCAGACGCCGGACCGCTCCGACACGAACAGTCCGCGCTCACAAATGAGTAGTCCCAACTCAAACTCTTCTATCAATGTGACGGATCAATCCATTACGCTTTCTCAGCACCAACAGAACTTAGAGACACTAAACAGAATGGGAATGTTTTTTCACGCGCAACAAATGCATCTTAACCAGAGTTTTGATGCTGTGAAATCTAGGTTAGGCTTGACACAAGTGCCTACGAGTGTGAATCCAGGCCCGAGGCATACGATAGACGCTATCTTAGGACTCAATGGCCAGAGGCAAGTTACTAGAGTGCAGAGTGAGTTTGAACAGAGGAGAGAGGAGAGGGAGTGTGAGACTGTACCAGTGTCGCCAGGAGCTATTGAAAGTGCCGGTACGTGGAATTTACTTATTTAAATGTAACTTAATAGAGTTAAATACTATGTTTTGTAGATCGCTTTGTTTAGCTGCAATTTTTGATGTGCAAAGCGTCTAAATGGCCTGTAAGGTACCCATTTTAAAACGTTTTGACGACTCATAAAACAATTTTACATATATACCAATATACCTGATAAAGAGGTAAAACTTGTAGTTGTATATTGTGGGTAAATTCTGAACCGTCGATTGGATTTCTGAAATTCTGTCACTGACACTACCCAGCTATCTAAGCTACAATGTTACTGAGTGCTATAAGCTAGGTACTTATGCTTTTAAAATACCAGGATATATTACTGTTGCACGCGTGCGAAGCGTAGTAAGAATGTAAAGTCCAAATCATTTTACTTGTTAATTATTTAAGTAAACCTACATCTTTTGACAATGCTCTTCTTACACACGAACTAAAAGAAAACTAGAAAGCCAATCATAATCCTTCTACATAAGTTTATAAGACCTTAACGATTGCTCTAGCTACAAACCATTCCTAATAGAATATGTTGTGGTTATTTCAATATCGAAAATTTAAAATCGAGTTCTATACCTAGATATTTTCTGGAATTTAGAACGCACATAAATTCAATTGTTTTTGGTTATATTTTGCCTTAAATGTATCTAATTACATTATCCATGTTTCTGTTCAATAAGAATACTTTTAAAATAAATATAATCATAAGAGATTTAATAAAGATAAAAAAAAGCGTTTTTAAGCAAGAAAGTATTGTAAAAAGCTAAAATTATGAGAACAATTTAGCTATAACTAATAAGGCTATTACGATAACTATAATAGATTCTCTAGAATAATAAATTGATAATCAAAGGTTTTGTATATTGCATTGAATAATGACAAAGGCTTGCACATTGCGGATAGGCGTTGCATTATAAGCACCGCCCGGAAAGTTGCCGCCCGCCGCAACGACCGACCGCACGCCGCCGACGGGTTAACTCTTGCCTACATAATTCCGAAGCTAAAATTCTAAGAAAAAATTGCTTACTTTAAATTTTGAATTGTTTATGCAAAGAGGATATAACCACTGTTTATGTTGCGTATTTAATTTTTTATTTTTATTGGTAATTATTTTTTTGTAACCACGTGAATTTAGATCAAGATTATAAAAAAAAAACTCTCGTATGTATTTTATAAATAGTAAGGACAAGTGACCCGCCCCTGTTTTGCTCAGATGCAATGCTATTACTAAATTTCTCCACTATTTAATGAAAAATACTAGTTATAGATACTTACAGATAAACCTTCCTCTTCAAATTACTCTATCTATTAAAAATAGCCGCATCAAAATCCGTTGAGTAGTTTTAAGGACTTAAGGACACAAAGGGATTTAGACAAAAAAAACTACTTTGTTTTATAATACATACCTATACTTCCAACGTTTTCGTACTTTTAAGAACATTGTTGCAGTATTATCGTTGCTTCATTAAGCCACTTCGATCGTTATAAGTAACAAGGAAAATATATTGACATTAAGAGCCTGTTTTCAAATACAAATTTCGCTCTCGGTACGTAAAAAATTGCATGGGTACATAAACATAGGTATTATATTTCTCGGTGGCCTAGCGGCCTGCTGAACCCTGCTCAACAAGAAGGCCCGCTTCTAGCGCCTAAGGAAGCGGGTTAGAAAAAAGGCTGTACCTAAGTGACTTTTTCTAGGTTATAGATAATATTATTTCTAAGATTATGTCGACACCATTAATTTCTAATTACAAGATTTAAGTCACTATTCCGCCATGAACAAGCATAGTGATTCTTGTTCAAATATTCTCCGTGTGAGAAGAAGCCTTTTGTCAGCAACGAGCGCTTATAGGCTTACCACGATAAAATGGAGTATTCAACGAAAGAAATTATTCAATTCGAATCAGTAATTCCGGAGATAAGCGCGTTCAAATAAACATAAACTTTTTGTATGTTTATAATATTATAACTATATATTATATAAATTATTTATGATTGTAAGTACAAATCATAAATGTAAGCACGCTAGAGCCTAACTACGTGTGCTTTTTAGAATAAAAATCATAGTACGTTAAGTATCTACAAGAGTTTTCAAGAAAAACAGTTCTTTACTAAGCGAATATGTTTTAAGCGAACTTAGAACACAGAAAAGAGCTAGTTAATTAATTTGACCAGTGTTGTTTTAACCGTCGCATTGCCATAAATTTTATATGAATTCATACTCATGCTATGGCAAATAGAACGGACAGCCTACACAAGTTACAAGGTACAAGCAAATATACGACCTGGAGACATGTTTTTGTACCGTTATCGTTATAAAATTGTAAAAAGGTAGGTTAATAGCAGGCAACGCAAAACTCCTATGGTGTTGCGGGTGCCGATTGCTTTCCATCAGATTTAGATGACTGCTGGTTAGCGGCAAAAAATATTGTTTGTTTCAAAAACTTTTTTTGTGAATGTATTGAATAGTATGATTCTTAATCTAGGTATACTAATATTATAAAGAGGTAAAATTTGTAAGTTTGTATGTAGGGGGTAATCTTTGGAACCGCTGGTCGGATTTCTAAAATTCTTTGACTGATAGATAGCTACAATGTTGCTATACAGGCTATAAAACATCACGCTACAATTAATGGAGCCGAGCAGCGGGAGAAACCGCGCGAGAATAGCTAGTTTAAAGTAGTTTATAATATCTTTATATGATACATATTATTTTATACTAGATTCTGTCCAATCACAAAACAGTAATATAAATATACAATTTAATTAATGAACAAGACATCGTTTTGTATACGTTATATTTTGAAGATGTAGATATACTCAGATTTAATGAAATAATTCTCCAATAATTCAATGCGTCTATACCACTACCTACATAGATACTTAGTATAAAACAAAGCCGCTTTCCCTATCCCTATATTCCTATGTATGCCTAAATCTTTAAAACTAAACACTTTTAAGTCCGTTTTTGAAAAGATAAAGTTTACACGTGATTTAGCCGGGCGGAATTCCTGTGCTATTTAATCTGTTCTGGAGAATCATCTAATGACTTCTCACGTCTTGGGTCGAGAGGGAATATCGGACTCTTATTGACTACTAGCTACTCTCGCGCGGTTTTATCCGCTGCTCGGCTCTATTTAATCCTAGCGTGATATTTTATAGCACTCAGGAACATTGTAGCTACATATCAGTGAAAGAATTTTGGCAATCGGACCAGCGGTTTCAAAGATTACCTTACAAACATACAGACTTACAAATTTTCTCTCTTTATAGGTAATATTAGTATAGAAAAACTACCACGGTACATTCTTGCGCTTGCACTCGGCTCATCGGATCAAATGCGTTTCAAACATTACAATAAAATAAGAAGCATATATAACGTTCTAAGTTTGGCCGAGCCAAGCTTTCGGCTTGAATGGGTCGGCTCGACCGAAGGGATGCCACGGCCTTACAGAAAACCGGCGTGAAACAGCCACAGCGTTGTGTTTCGCCGTGTGAATGAGGTTACCGGAGACCATATCCTACCCCGTCCCAAATCCCTTCCCAAGCCTTAGCTCCGTAACTGTTATCCCCAAAAGGTCGGCAACGCACTCGTAACTCCTTTGGCGTTGCCCATGGGCGGCGTCGATTGCTTACCATCAGGTAATCCATCAGCTCGTTTGCCGACTTATACTACAAAAAGAAATAAATTTATACGTAAGTAGTTACAATCACATTAATAACGGCTCTCAATGCAGCATTTCACAAGCGGATACGGTCGTACAACTTATCGTATCGATCGACTAATGCTGATCCCAAGTTTGTATAAACATTAATTTCACAATGACTGCAATCAGCCACGGCGTTGACGCGCCATTTCCTGTGCATTAGACAAGAATTAGTTTCATTAGAACATTAATGAAATTACTATTATGAAATGTTTCCTTATCAGAGATCCCTTCGATCTGTTATAGTTTAGTAGATCGTGTGGCAATAAATTGAGACAAGGAAAAGAAAAAGAAAGAAAATTACTATTTGTTACTGTTAAATAAATATATGTTAGTCGAAGTTAAGAATTCTCATGGGTGAATAAAACCGAAACCTGCCAAGTAAACTACTAATGTGACTTTTTCCAAATTATATTGTCTAATTTATTGGATTATTCAGACACCATACATTCACGTATTCACTTTTAAATTATAAGTACCTACATTTGATATCTCCTATACGCCAAGAACGAATTCGGTAATTAATGCTCAAGTATTCTATTTTCGTGTGAGAAGAGGCCTTTGCTCAGCAGTAAGGGATTATATGCTGATGATTTGTTCAACTTCAGCCTTGACGAGTAAAATAATATATAAAGTTGTAATCAGAAAAGATAATGGTAGTCATCTAATTTGGAAGTTCTATTAGAATAATGAGTTATACGTAAAATTTATAATTAATAAGCTTCTGTCAGCGGTTTTGCCTACATTATCCAGATAATATACCCCCTGTAATCTATCGCCGTAGAAAATTTGTACTTAGGTACTTACTTACTTATTAGAAATTTGCAAATACATCTGTGTCCAAGGTGGACTTAATGCCACAGGCATTCTCTGCCAGTCGAACCTTACGGTGATGCAGGGATAATAGTGGGTGAAATTTCTTCAATATCAATTTAGTAGTTTTAACGTGAAAGAGTAACAAACATCTGCCCAGACTTATAAACTTTCCCTGAATTTTCGAGTTTATAACATTAGAAGGTTTTGTTCGTAATTGAATGTACTAACCAGGTGTTCACTTAAATTTATAAAAAAAAAGAAACAAATTAATGTTGTTGTGTAAGGCAAACCAAGTCAGTGATATAACGTGGAACCAGTTTACTTAACAGCTATGTCAGATGTTATCCGTTTGAGATCTACTCAGTTGTGCTTAATGCACTTTTGCGCATATCGAAGGATGCTACTATTTGGGTGCTGGAATTAGAAATTGTGACTATGTGTGTGTGTGATTGTGTAAAATGTAGAAAT